CTCTTGTCCATCGGTTGTCATTCATACGCATTACGTGTGCGGCCCACCTTATCTTCGACTGTTTGGCGTACAGAACAGCATCTTTGATTTACAATCGTTGACGCAGATCGGAGCTTCGGATTCTATCCCGTGTTTAATGTGGAACGGGATACTCCTAGCATGATCCCTTCGACTGCGTGTTCGATAACGCTGAGTGGCCTTCCATCCTGCTTACGCAGCGACCAGGTTTCTGACGCATATGTTAGGGCAGGAAGTATTGTTGACTCGAAAAGGTGGGCATGGAGTCTGGAGTTTTTGTTCTCTTCACTACATACTCGATGCTCTTGAAAGCTCCCCAAGCCACTCGTTTTCTTTAGCTCAGCTCTGAAGCTAGGTCGTTCATCATATTGACTTCCCGATCTAGATAGATATAACTGGTGCATTCAGAGAGATACGTTCCATTGAGCGTGAATGGGCCATGCGAAACCAATCCGTTTTTCACGAACATCGTTTTTGTCAGATTTAGTCGAACACCAATCTTTCCACAAGCTTTATCAAAGTCGTCAAGGATACGTTCCGCTTGGCTAATGATGATGTCATCAGCAAAGCGAAGACGATGTAATTGCCAACCATCGATTTTCACTCCCATATTATCCCATTTCAATGTTCGCATGACGTTCTGGAGGGTGTCGGTAAACAATTTTGACGAGATGGCATCGCCTTGTCTAACTCCTCTTTTGACTTCAATGTTAATAACGTTGTAGAATGGTGATACCCTGCTTGTCAAATTTTTGCACAGCTCACGAAGAATCTTTATGTACTGAGTAGGGACTCTTTGACTATCAAAGGCTTCCATGACTGCTTCTATCTTAGTTGAACCAAAGGCCTTCTGTAAATCGATGAAAGTGAGACAGAGCGGTCTTTTGTGCTCTCGCAATACTTCTATGAGCCTTGTTATCGTGTGGATGTGGTCCACCGTACTAAATCCTTCCCGGAACCGTGCTTGCTCAAATGGCTGTCCTTCGTCTAGTGTTCCGCCAATCCTGTTTAGGATGACTCGAGTGAAAAGTTCGTAGACGACAGACAGTAAACAGATTTGGCGATAGTTGCCGATATCGTATAGGTCACCCTTCTTGAACAGTAGTACAGTCATGCTGGTCTTCCACTGAGTAGGGACCTTGCATTCAGACAGGTAACGTGTGAAAAGCTGAGCAGGTGCGTTTACGAGGACTGGCGGAATGTTCCTCAGGCGTTCAGATCTTGTCGTGTCCCTACCAGGTGCTGTTCGATTTTTCACCTGCGAAATAGCATGTAGGATTTCTGAAGCGAGAACCAGTGGCACGACATATCCATGCTCCTTTAATTTATTTGCAGAGAATAAGCAGTATGAAGTGCTGAGATATTTGCAAAACTCCGGACCACAGGTGTATGCAGTGGGGAACGAACACGCGCTGTTGTCCTTACCGGGGAGCAGCGCACTTCACCACTACACCATCCGGGTCCTTCGCTTAGCATGTCTCTCAGCTAGTTCTATCGATCTTTTTTTGCCATCAGCAATCACCCGTCACCGGGATTGATCTGGGAAGCCAATATCGAACTAGCTGAGAGACATGCAAAGCGAAGGACCCGGATGGTGTAGTGGTGAAGTGCGCTGCTCCCCGGTAAGGACAACAGCGCGTGTTCGTTCCCCACTGCATACACCTGTGCTCCGGAGTTTTGCAAATATCTCAGCACTTCATACGAGTTATATTTCACAACATACCTTGCCATTAAGAAGAAAAAGGCAGTAAATAAAAGAGTTAAGAATAAGCAGTGTTTATTGAGGAGATTTAAGTAGTATTAGTGGACGATTTTCTCCATTGCTTTTTTGGTCGATGTAACTGTTCATTCTGAGAGTCGGAGGGCAATCATCTTGGTTCTATAGTTGGCTTCGGTGAGCTTTGCGGGTCTGCATAATCTACATTGATCTATATGACTACATTGGCTACAGCCCCAGCTTAATTGGGGATCATTGCCGATTTGGGCTCCCCAGATTAATCGCGTTGACGGGTGGTTGCTGGTGACACTGGTAGATAGGTAATAGGCTGACAGAAACCGAAACGAAGAACACGCAGGGTGTGGTGGTGAACTCGTTACTCCTCGTAAAGGACAATAGCGCGTTCGTTTGCCACCGCAGACATATGCGGTGCGGAGCTTTGTAAACATCTCAGCATCCTTGTGGTCGTATCACACATAATACCCTGTAGTGAAAATTTATAATAGGTAGTAAATTGAAAGTTAACATTGTGATTCCTGGTTTTCGATAACTAAAGGGCCTGACAAATTTATATCGCGAGAGACGTGTAGAGAAGTCTTCTCACAGTTTTAGAATGTTTTAACCTGTAGTTATTGTAATCGAAATTTTAAAAAACTAAAAAGTAATTCAATTTTTCCGGAGTTCCTAGCACAAGCACGCCGACCTTAGGTACCAGTAGGTACCATGCACTGAACGAAATCCTCGTGTTTTACGGGGTCCTCTTCTTCAACCGATTTCAATATTTAAAATATGATGTTCGAAGAGAGATTGTTGTAGGATATAAGAATAAGACTTTTATCTTGGCAGAGTGAAAGAATACATTTATTGGTAGCGCGAGTGTGGCGCAGGAATTAGAGGCAGTACGCACTGGGTAAGAGCGCGTGTGGCGTAGTGGTCGGAGGCGCCCTACAACACACTCATGGAATCGATTCCTGTGCCCATGGCCCACTAGGCCCCCATCCTGCCGGGATGGGCAAATTGGTACCAGACCTGTTTGAGAGGATAGCAGCACTGGTTCGATACATCGGTAGGCCACCACGAGTTATTGTAAAGGCTAGATATGCATTCAATCAACTCCAAAGGATGCTTAATGAAGTCTAATGCACGGCACATCCCTGAGGGATTGATCACCGCCGAGAGGTTTATCCTTTATCCTTTTTAAATGCTGGGTGCTTCCACTGTTTGACAACACCGCACCCGACAGGTTCACCAAATATTTCATCTCTCTAGAGTTGGCAGATTAGGACCAAACTTGTTGTAAGTGGGTAGAAACACTAAGTTGATACAACAGTAGAGCAACGCTAGTAATTTTCTTGTCCAGGTATGCATTCAATCATCTCTACGATGCTACCAATGGATTCGCATGCATGTATCATCCCTCATGGATTAGTCATCACTGAGCGCTTTGTCTTTATCTTTTGATTGACAATGACTTCTTGATTCTAATGCTTTTTATTAAAGTCATAACTTCCACCATGAGTTGAGTTACGCTTGCTCCAGGTTGTAACGTAGAACTATTTCTACCGATTTCCCACACGATATGATCACCAGCGCCTTTTCTCTTTACTGGTTTTGGTTGACAATTTGCTCATCCATAAATAATAGGTAGATGGTATAAATAATAAATATATAAATATATATTAAATATAAATATATAAAATACAAATATATAATATAAATAAATAGGTAGACGAATTCTTTCACCACAGTGCTTAACTCTTAGCTGCGTTTCCAGCCACAAATGTTCAAATCCTTCCCCGCTAAGGTGACCTAGTAGGAGGAAGGACCCTACTGCATATCTTATAATGCTACCGAGAAACATATGCCGTACACAGTGCAGCTGCAATCTCACTGGTGTATGATTTTTGACATGTTGAAATACTGAAAGAGCTTGACACTTGACACTTCAATGGCCCTTCCTCACTGGTTGTGCGGACTCCAGCATAATCACCATTTTTTGGAGAATTGCTGGTTAAACTATTGTGGTTCTCTGGAATCCCGGGGTTAGCCTGGCCAAAGTTTGCCCCAGGTCTTCAACACCACAGGCAGTCGCAGCCCTTGTGGATCAGAGGGAGATTTGACACCATGGGACTTTGATACCAGGACCGCGGTGAATCCTGGTATTGGATTACTCTTATCTAGATTTCCTGATGGAAGCGCCGGACTTCTTCTTAGCATGGAAGACCCAGAGGATGAATCCCTCGCTCTATATCGCAGTCCGACACCCACGAACACCTCCCAGCCACGATGAGGTGGTAAACTGTTGAGAGGTACTGAAAGAGCACTACAGTAAAACAATGAAACGGATTAAACCACTGATTTCTTACTGCAATGCGTGAAATGTCTACTCAAGGCCTTCTGTTGACCTGCGCATCCGGTTTATGGTTAGAAGCGCCCTGCAACACATAGGTGGAATCGATCTCCCGTGCCCATGACCCGACCAAACCTTCCATCCCTCAAGGGTCGACAAATTAGTACCAGGTTTGTCTGGAAGGATGGCAGCACTGGATGGTTACATCGGCAGGCCACCGCGAGTCATTGCAAAAGCCAGATATGGATTCAATCACCTCCAAACGATGCTTAATGAAGTCGAATTCACTGCGCATCCCTCAGGGATTGATCAACGCCGAGAGTTCTATCTTTTTTCATCTACCCTTTCGGTCTAGCTGTTTAAAGTCAAAGAAAAGTACTTATAATATTATATGGCCTTAAGAGCATATTATTAAGAATAACACGGCTTAGAGCAAGGTGAAACGAAGAACTCGCATGTGGTGGTGAACGCGTTAGCTCCGGCTAGAGCAATAGCGTGCTCGGTCCCCACCACAGACACCAGCGGTCCGGGCGGGGTTTTACAGATATCTCAGCGTCATTGTGGTTATATTTCACATAATACTCCGCCATTAAAAAAGAGTAGGCGCTAACTGAAAGAGTGATGGCATTGAGAATAATAACCTCAATGAGTCTGAGATATTTCCAAAACTGCTGACCGCAGGTGTCAGCTGTGGGGAACGAACGCGGTAATGTCCTTTCCGAGGAGTAATGCGTTTACCACTACACCATGCGGATCCTTCCTTCGTTTCGCCTGTCTCTTAGCTAGTTCTATCGATTACTGCCGTCAGCAATCACCCAGATTGATTTGGGGTGTCCATTCGCAATGCACCCTGCCATTAAAAAGATTAGGCAGTAAATAAAGCGGTTAAGATTGAGAATAAAGTTTATTGTTTAGATGCGAGCGAGGGAATTGCTGCCGTATATTTCGCGAGTCGAAAGTGTCGTCTACAGGCAATGTGAACGTGATGCCAAGTCGACCGTAGCCCTGGCTAAATGTGCAGTTCGAGTTTTCGATTCGAGAGATCAAGCTGCTCTGAAAGAGGAAGAAGCGAAAAAGAGAAACGCGAAGCCAATCCTAACAGTAGTGGCTCACCATAAATCGAACCATGACTGGATGTACAACTCCAGTAGTAATCCTAAAAGGCATTCACTGGAAAAGATGAACCATTCTACATACAGGCTAACTAACAATGCTAATAGAAGCCCAGTAGTGCCACGAACAAACAAAAAACGATTGAATTTAAAACAGTTGGCTAAGCCGAAAGCAAAGCCACGATTTCGCTCCCTGAAATTGCCATTGATTAATCGATTCTCTGAAAATGGTAAGAAGTTCAGTCGATTACTTGAAAGCGGCGATAAGAAAAGAAGAACAAGAAGGAAGATTGACGACGGTATGCGTCGGTATTCCTTAATCATTTATTTCTTGCCGAAATCTTCACTAGCATTGTATACAACGGCTGCCCTTGCATATTTGAAAATCTACCGAGTGATTCTCACTATTGGACATTACTGAACATGGAAATTTGGCTGCAAATATTCAATAACTAGAAATCTAAGACTTCTTCCATTGACAGTTTTGTGCACTTTGAGGACTCCGACGTTTCCCGTCAGCGACTTACTACATTTCAGCTTTCCTACTTAGATCATGACAGCAGATTGCTATCATCCATCATCTCTTGAGTTAAATGCAACACAATCAAATTATTTTAAACGATTTAACTTTACTTGAGTTCAACTGGAACACTACGTGTTCATGGCGTATGACAGTTTAAAAGTAATATGATCGTTTTCTTCGGAGTACTTTAACAGCGGATAGGAAAACATCCAGTGGCTTTTTTTTGGGAGGAGCGGCAAAATTTTTGCAAAATTTGGCGCACGTTGCAAGAAAAAGTAAAACACGAAAGGTAGTTTTGATCGCATCAGTACATTATCACTACCAATTAGCACTTAATGTTCCATGCGGGATGGATATCAAATTCGAACCAATTATCCATAAAATTCCTTGGAGAAAAGTGCACTATCCGAAAATATTTGGAATTGGAATCATTTAAATTCTTGAGCCTAACACGGGGTTGATAAAGTTGTTTATTCGGCTAACGTTTCGGCGATTACGTCTTCATCAGAAGCGATAATCCCAGTCGATGTTCCACAGATCTTCTTTGTGCTCTCGAGGTGGCGTTTTCGTGGCACATCGAGTTGGATCTTCTTCACTGGAGATCGCTATCATTTTCGAATGACCCATACTCACTCAGCGATACTCATTTATGCAAGGCGGTTGTTGCTGATGTTGTTATCTGTTGATAATTATTGGTTTTCTAACGGATAATCTACCCTGCAGCAGTCGGTATTATGTGGGCTAGCACATAGCCAACAGCGGAACAATAATTTTAGAGCGACCGTCATTTAACCTCGGTAGGCAAATAATGTGTTTAAACTTTATCAATCTTGTGTAAGCTCGAAAATATGAACAGATGTTCATTATTTGACTACCGAGGTTAAGTGGCGGTCGGTTTCAAAAGCATTGTTCATTTAAACTCTATTCAGATGCAAAAAACACAGGAACATCTATCAATCTACGTGAAATCGTAGTGAAATACATTCGAAGGATACTAGGTTAGTTTATAAAATGCTACTTATTTTAAATTTATCTTTGTTAAAAACATTGACCAGTTAGTAGAAATAAGAAAAGAAATTAACTAGGATTCCGAAAAGTCATTCCCATGCATCAGTCAAATATTTCAAGTACTAGTAGCCGCTTACAACAACAATACCTAAACAGAATAATAATGTCAATGTCAATGTCAATGAACGAAGTAATAAATTTTTCTTTGGTAGTGATAGAACAATTTGGAGAAAACGAATCTCTTCCAACGATTTACCATCTCATCGTGAATGCGAGGTGCTCCTAGGTGTCTGGCAGCGATATGCACCAGTGGAATTCGTCCCCACAGCAGGGTCTCCCAAGCAAAGAAAGAACTAAGTGTTTCCATTAGAAAGGTAAGCTAAAAGTAAGCCAATAAAAGGATCCACCATCGTCTTGGTATCCAACTAGTCGCATGGTGGCAAATTTCCCTGTGATCCACGAGAGCGGCGACTGCTTGTGGCAGTAACGACCTAGGGCAGACTTTGCCCAGGCCGACCTCGGGACTCCAGGGAACCATAATGGCTCAACCAGAAAAATCTCCGAGAAATAGAGATTATGCTGGGGCTGGCATAACCAGTTAGGACGGGCCATTCAAGTATCAAGTAAGTAAGCAGGGCCTTTACACGCTATTGGTGCTATAAGCAATCACCAGTCAAGAGCAATGATCTAGGGAAGAAAAATCGGCATGGAACCCAGTTAAGCTGAATGTACCCGTTTACGGTCAATTGCTGATAACAGTGCAGTGAAGATAACGCGAGTCATCTGAAAAGGTTATTGTGGGTTCGAAGGTTGCCTGCCTTTCCGAGTTTTACAATTATCTACAATTTACATTTTTTTACTTACAATTTACAATTATCAATTACAAAACTGAAAAATCAGAACTTTTGCTGGCGCCCGCACAACCAGTGAGAGTGGGCCATCCAATTAGCAAATGAGTAGGTATTGGCGGAACAAATTTGCAACATGAATAATAAATATTATAAGCATCCTACAGATTTTACAATTGTGGCTACCTAAAAACACAGCTGTATTTAAAGTTCTTCTATGTTGTTCATTAAAGTTAATCAGAAACGAGGGGAAGAAGAGCATACATTGTCAATATGTCAAGCAGTAATGGAAAGGCACGAAAAGGTATCGGATTTTCCTCGAAAACAAAAGGAATCTGTTTCTAGATTTTTAAAAGAAAGTCCGTTGTAATGTTTAATCTATTTTTTAGATAACAAAAAAAAGGTTTTGCCAACCCCGTGATTTGAAATTCGTGTGGGAATTTTTACCTTGCAAATGCTAAATATGCAGTTCCACTTGCGTTCGTCATTGGAAGTGCACATCCATGCTAAACGAGAGTGTTCTACTAACAAGTATCTTATATCACTGGTACCTAGTAGAGACCAAGAAGCTAGTCGATTACTTGAAGCGCTGCCAAACTTGAGTAGTTTTTTACACAGTTAATTTTAAGGTAACTCGCCGGACATGTCGAACCTGGAAAATTTGCGGAAGATCTACAATCACTTCAAGAACACAGAGAAGATCAATAACTATTTTAAGCAAATGAATGAAGAAAATAGAAGGTGACCATAAAAAAGTATCTTTCTTTGTTAAAAATTCTTTCAACTTCTACAAGCGTATAAAATGTGTTTTATTATTAATCATAAAAATTAATCATGTTCACTTTTTGAAGAACCTGAAAACTTCGTTCCGACAAAAACATGCTAGTTCCTTCGTCGTGGTGTTTAGTGTTTTCATTCGATTTTTTCCTCAATACTAGCACTCGTTATAGAAAATTATAGAAATTTTATACAGCAGGTTGCCCCATGTTCGCCGGCGAAGTCACCGTTTCGTCCGAAATCCCCGCTGCACAATTAGAGTGTGTGTTAGGTGGAAGCTTGACTAACACATGGGTAAACTGCTATCACGTATCGTGAGTAGCTCAAAGGCTCTCTTAATCGTCTCTTTTTCCTGCGACCTTCATCGACGGAGGTGGTCTGCATAGTCTTTGGTTCGGCTGCACGTTGAGAATTTTATTTTTTCACTGATTTGTTGACTTGAAAGCTAGAGGAGTTCGGTTTTCTCTGAAATCCCACAATTTCCATGCTAGGAGCGTCAGCTCATTTTTACGACTGACATTCGCTGGCTTTTATGGTTCTGAGGAAGATTTGCTGCCATGAGACTACAGTTTTTCTAGGACAGTAATGATTACGAAGACTAGTCGACTAGGTGAATAGTAGATGACGTGACAGGCTGAATCTAGGATCGTAGCTGTGTACCTAAGTGCTTTTAACAGTGGTTGCTAAACTATATGTCGGTGATGACTACGCAGCTGTAGCAGTGATCTAACAATGTGGTGAGATTTCTTCTACTTCAGGCTATACGAACACATAGCACTTCCGATCGACAGTCGCACACCAGAAATCACCAATCAAGCCGAATCAGCAGTTGAAGAAGTGCTCGAAATTGTGAATATGTTTGTGGTATGTTTGATTGATACGATTTTGGCAAAACGGCAGATTATTTCAGGCTAATGCTTCTAACTAATAGATTTCCGCTGTAAACATTGGAACTCTTGTATTACGTTAGAGCAATAGAATATACTGTGTGAAACTCATGTATTATCTTGAAAACAGTTTTCTTGTCATCAGGTTTCTCCACTTCAGTTCGCCATTAAAAGGATCTTGAAGTATCCTAGTCCTCCCAAAAGTTGTAGTTCAAACATGGTTGTCAGATTCTTCAGTTTCACAACAGATTTTTCTCAATGTTTTCTCACTTCCGACATTTCGTAAAAAATTTGCTCAGTAATTTGTTTAACCAACGCTGGAATGAAATTTTTCTGTCCTACGACCGACCTAAAACGTATTTTTTCTACATCCTTCCGACTTCGGCTTTTTTCACAAGATTCCAACTACTGCACATGTTCTCATGCTTCTAAGTCGAAAAGGCAAATGTCAACAAAATTTTTTCTTCGAACGCTAACCTTCTGTTAAGAACCCCTTTACAGTGATTAAGAATTACTTGAACACTCGTTTTCCTTTGATTTGAGGCAGTGAAGTCTTTTTGGGTAGAAAATACTGTTTTAACAAGAAGTTGTCACAATCTTAACTCTTTTATTTACTGTCTTTTTCTTCTTAATGGCTGGGTATGTTGTGAAATATAACTCGTATGAAGTGCTGAGATATTTGCAAAACTCCGGACCACAGGTGTATGCAGTGGGGAACGAACACGCGATGTTGTCCTTACCGGGGAGCAGCGTACTTCACCACTATACCATCCGGGTAAAAAAAGTTGCCAATTTTAATAAGACCACGAAGGCCGAGGTCGATGTAATTATGACATGCCATACCAGATGTTCATTATTAATTCTTATGCCATAAAGTTTGTTTTTCGAAAACATGCGATTATTTAACATCTATTTACGTACAGCCATAGTAATGTTGAGGTGTCTGCAAACAGTTGGACTCAGGGCCAGAGTCGAACCAGCGATTACGTTTTGTGGCGATGCCACATGCTACTACTACACCACTGAAACCCTCGCTTAGGATTTTTCTCAGCCAGTTTTTACACCAGTGGTGCCATTAGCGATTCACCCATCAGCGGGATTGATCTGTGGAGCACAAATCGACATTGAACACAGTTAACCTGAGGCTGTGGTCGAAATCACCATGCTAACCTTTCATTTGCTGCCAACTATAATTTTTTACGGCAGGGTGTTATGTGGTAAGCAAATAAACAAATAATAATAAGCGATTGCACCCATATTTATTTGTTTATTTACATATATATATAT